CTAACCGGTTCGGTAGATTTGATGAACCGGTTCTACTGAATAGGTGCGAACTGGTAGGAACCCACCTCTGGGGTGACGTGATAGCAGTCTTCCAGTCAAGCATCAGGAAAATCAGGAGGTGTATTTATTCGATAAATACCTACTATATACCTACTATTCATTTATTTAAGATTTATTGTAAGTTTAAGCTTTCTGAAGAATCTGAACTACTAGCGGCCAAGGGAAATTAGCAGGAGACAAGAGTGGAAGGAATTCAAGGTGGGCTGGACTGAGATCTCTTGTGGGTGTGAAAGGACTCATGATTGATGACATGTTTGACCCCTCCCTCAGGCTCAACCTGGTCATCTCCTACATCTTCAGTACTTGAGGGTTGTCACATTCTCCAAAACACCTGAGGGTAGGACAAGAAGCAATGGGTGGAAGCTTATCGAGGAGACATCCAACCTGGAGGAAAGGAGAAATTTCCTGACAGGGACCATGATTAATCAGTGAGACAGCTTAGGTCCCAGAGTTGCAGGTGTCCCATCGACGGAGGTTTTCAAGAAATGATTGGATGATCTTTTGTCTGGGATGATATGAGGTCTCCAGACTTGGGCAGGGGATTGGATTAAAAAAAAAATCCAAGATTCGTCCAACCTTATGATTTAATACAGTTTACATCAGGGATGGCTAACTTTTTTGTTTTCGCATGCCAAAAGTGTATGCACATGCGTGCGTGCCCATAATGCAATGCTCATGTGGGGGGGCGCACCCCACGCATGCACGAGCAATCCCCTGTGTGCGCCCCGTGCATGCGCGAGCAATCCGCTGCACTCCCTCACCCCTGTGCATGCATGCACGAACCCCCCGTGTGTGCCCCAAACTCCCTGTGCATGCAACCCCCACATGTGTGGCCCCCCCCATGCCTGGCAGAGATCTGAAAACCAGCTGGCCAGCGGGAGGTGTATGCGCATGGAGCTGAGCTGGGTGATGACTTGCATGCCCACAGAGAGGGCNTCTATCTATCTATCTATCTATCTATCTATCTATCTATCTATCTATCTATCTATCTATCTATCTATCTATCTATCTATCTATCTATCATTTCCTCTACAAAATTTGAGCATTTTGAACAAAAGGAAATCAATGCTGCAGTCGTGTTTTATTGCTTATGAAATGGAATCTGTACTCTGCAAATACCTCACAGCTTGGCCATCCATTTCTAAATGAAACTGTCACCTCTTAGAAGAGGATGCATTATTCATAGGGGATGCCTCAACAAAGTGGAGCAAAACTGCAGGAAATGCAGATGAAAATATGGTACAAATGCTTTCTCCAGCTAGATCTTCAGCAACATTAGCCAGCCTGCCAAAACCTTCAGAAGAATATTGATGTCCAACGGGTAATCAAACACTGATAGGCAGGTAGATTACCTCCTCAAGAGAAATTCCATCCATCAGTTACCATAATGAAACTGGGTCATGCAGAAAAACCTGTAGCGATAAAGGTTAGGGGGGAAGTAGAAGTGTGATAAACTGTTAACTGAGAACATTGTGAGTCTTCCTGTTTAGCATTGTCTCCCTCCCTCAACAACCCTTTCCTCTCTCAACACCCCTCAATTTTGTTTAGTGTTGTTTAGCCTTGATTTTGTTTAGTATAAGATAGGGCAAAGGGAAATTGACAGATGTTCTGGTATTCTGTCCTGCAAACAATAAAGAGCATTCCTGAAATCCATGTCATGATTGTTTCTTGATCTTGCTTACCTCAAAGGATAGGTTTGGTACAGTGGCTAAGTTTCTATGTTGGCATAGAAACCAGGAGACTGTGAGTTCTTGTCCCATCTTAGGCCTGAAAAATCAGCTGGGTGACTTTAGGCCAATCACTTTCTCTTAGCCCAGGAGGAAAAAAACAACTATAGGTATGTGTTTGCTGCCTTGAATTGAATATGAAAAATGATGGGGTATTTTTTTTAAAGCTGACATTCATATAAATAGAAATGTTCACTGTCTTTTCTGACCCCAATAAAGGGTTAACCCCCCCTAAAACATCTCAGTTTGTTTTTCAATTGAACCATCCAGCTTATATGTTATGTTAAACGTAGAAAAAGGTAGAAAAAATTCTGAGGTGGTCTGGTGTTTTTTACATCTCAAAAACCTGGCATTTTAATGCGGGTGGGATGGGGTATAGACTTTTTATATCCACTGTATCCCTGAAATAAATTCCTAAAATAAAATCTAAAGTAGATTGCAGAAGAGTGTGGTAACGAGATGAGAAACATACTTGCTTGAATTGCATGAACAAGTAAAAACCTTTCTATACAACATATTTTTGCCATGAAATTCCCAATGGTGACAAATGAAATGGCCACAGTCTATATATTTTTAAAAGTCCCCAGATTCTGCATACTTTTTTATTTCAAACTTCCCCAGACTAAAGTGCCACCAGTTTTACAGGAACAAAGGACTTGAAAATTTTGGCTATCAATCTTACATGCCTTGAGAAGCAGCAAAAATCAGAGAGCATTATATAGATGAAAAGAGTTTAAGATGAGACTACAGTTACTGATAACTATAGGTGAACAGTACTGAGAGAAGATTGCACTAGAATCACTTGACTGGCAAAAATATTCTTGCTATTAAAAACAATGCTTGCTACTTACAGTTATCACCTAGCACTTTAAATCAGTTGTATGGATGAAACTTCCTTTAAATTGTAAGGCTTATTGCTGGATATGATAAAATATTCCAGGAGTATGAAAGATGACCTCCTTGTAAGAAACAACTTTCTGGAGCATTTGTGGCCAATGTCAAGTCGTCTCCTTGTCCAGAGAGGAATTACAAAGAACTGGTCTACTTGCTGGTTCTTCATTCCATTCCATTCCATTGCATTCCATTGTAGTTATCAGCTCCACTAGAGAACCATCTTTCTTGATTCAGGATGAGATTGTTTAGCTACTGGCAATGCAATTCAAATCAAAGAATGCAACACATCCTAAGTAAGCAACTTAGTCTGTTATTCCAGATGGCACACCTTACAATAGTCATTTGGAAGAAATTATTTTAGTAGTGAGTTTTGTAACATTGGTAGAACAAAGTGATAATATTCCTGCAGTGTTGCTGTGAAAGAACATTTCTAGAATTTATTGACATAAACAATACCACAGCACTTGATGTGACACTAATGTGCTTTTTAAAATACTGGCAAAGAAGGGAATTGCAATAGCTGACATGAGAGGTCAGAGCTACTTCAATAATGGTGACAACATGAAAGAATAAACAAGAGTATAGTCATGGATTTGAGAGCTGAACCCCTCAAGGTATTTTTCTCCATGTAGTTTTTATTTGTGTAACTTGGTGGTCTGTGATACCACTATCTGATTTCAGTAGCATGCCAATTTTTTAAAAATCTATATCTTTATGCTATGCATTAACTCATCAATGACAAATCTTAAAGCAACATCTAGGACATCTTATGAAACAACTAAGTGCTATAAATCAAAACAGTCACATAGAGAACAAAACTCTATAAAAATAATATTACAAAAACAGTTGAAGCTCTAGCTGACACTATGCAAGACAATTCTTTGATAGGATACTTCCATAGGTGAACAGTGACAGAGTGAAATAGAATTCCCACAAATTTACATAACTTCAAATATCTGTGTTGCTTGGTGTTTATTGCTGCACATACTCTTTGGAATAAATATTGCATGCCAGAAATTTCAAAGTGTTGGTTCTGATATATCTGGAACAATAAAATAACTAGACAAAACGAGGCTGTACCTATAGACTTACACATGACAGTTTTTAAGCGTTCTGAAGATTGCATAAAGTTTGTCAGGGGAACACACAAAAGCTATTTTCTCATCCATTCAAGAACACATCAAATAAAAAGATATTGTCATTACAAGACCCCGAATAATCCCATAAAAAACCCAAAACCACAATTCAAGGTTGAATTCTTTCACTTGGTCCTATATTGTGCAATTCAGTCAGGTAATCAGGGGTGGGTTTCAACCGGTTCGCACCGGTCCCTGCGATCCGGTTGGTCGCCGAACCCAGAAGTAAGTAACTTCCGGGAACGGCGAAGCCCCCNCAAGTTTCAAGATCCTTGCACCCCTAACCCTTTAGCAGTGGTGGGTTTCAAAATTTTTTGGAACCTCTTCTGAAGGTGTGGCCTGCTTTCCAGGTCCACTGGTGGAACCTCTTCTTACCGGTCCGGTAGATTTGACGAACCGGTTCTACCGAATAGGTGCGAACTGGTAGGAACCCACCTCTGCCATATTTGTTTTTAATGCAAGAGTGAAGAAACTAATTCTTATATCAGTGGGTTAAGCTGAGGTTTCTCTTTGAAATCTGCTATGTTTTTTCCACCTCCAATGAATGTCTTAGCTGTTTTAGAAGTGGTAGGAAGGATGGTATGGTTAATTTGTACCATATGTATTCCATGGCAATGGGAAATTATGTGTAGGGAACCAACCCAAAATTTAATTGCCTTAGACATGGAGGTTTGTGGACTATGATGTATGATGTAGCCTGTTGTAGAAACCAATAATTTCTGGCTTACTAAAATCACAATGGTGTAGCGCAATGTGTGAACTTAATCACTGTGTGAAATCACCTGGATTAACAAATGAGCCAAGGTATCAATCACGGCTTTGGCAACAATCACTTCTTGAAGTTAATCTTAGTTTTGGAGCGGTTTCAGAGTTCGGAGACTGTGCTTCTTTTTTTTCTCCTAAAACAAAATACAGTTTCACACAAGTATTTATATTTTTTAAAAAGGTTGTACTCCCTCCTCCCCCTTTCCCATCTATCGTACAATCATTCAGGGATTTAGGGGGGGGGGGAGTTGAGATCAGACAAAAAAGGAAAGCAAGGAATTAAATTAGCGCCTCTTCCAAGCTGCCTACGAAATCCAGATCATCTGGATGGGCAGATTCAAAGTAGAGAGCTTTGCATTTCTGATTCGTGTTTCAAGACGAACCAACCCGTAGATCAGAGAGAAAGGACACACAACGTAACAGTCATAACTCTAAAATCCGCCATTCCTGGAACTGCAAGCTAATCTGGGAATATATGAAATCCTGGACTTATAATAGGCTAGTTAAGTGCTGGCAAATTAATAGTTGGTAGGAGTTTTTTTTCCCAAGTCTTTTGTTGGTAGGGGCTCCCCAAATCTGAACATGGTCAGTCTCCACAAACATGGTGTTGTGACTCAGCAGAAGTCTCCTGTGAGTCTTTTCGGGATGNTTAGCCATTGTATTTGTATTGTATTGTATTGTATTTAATGGATTTATAGGCCGCCCAATCCCGGAGGGCTCCGGGCCGCTTACAGAAAAGAGGTAAATTATAAAAAATAAAGAATTAAAAAAACCCCAAAGAAAACAGATTAAAACCTCACCATGCACCCAATCTGGTCGGGGGCTGGACCTCAATAGCTGGGTGACTTCAGGCCAATCTCTCAGCCCAACCCAGCTTCCAAGATTGTTGTTGTGGGGAACGGAAGAGGAAGAAGCCTTAGGTATGTTTTCTGCCTTAAGTTATTTATAAATAAAGTTGGGATAGAAATCAATCAAACAAATAAAATCTTAGAAAAAGCTGGATTGTTTTATTTTTTGCAATCACCCTTCTGTCAAAGAACATGGGCTTCTTTTTTTAAGCCAAGCCGGGCTGGCTTATTTATTTATTTAAAAGCTCTCTCTCTGTCTCTCTCTCTCCCCACCCCTTTTGCAGCTCGCATCCCAGACTCATCCCGGTCGAATTGCCGACAGCCTGTGAAAGAGGCTTCAACGAAGATGGCAAAATCGCCAGCACCTGCTTTTCAGTTGCACAAATGAAAGCCGCGCCTGAGAAAAACCCATGCGGAGACCTCTCGGTGGGTTGCACATGGCTCTGGAACGAGCGGAGAAGGCGAAGGAGGAGGTGGGGCCATCTTTTCCGACTGATGCTGCGATTCGAAGCGCTTCATCCTTATAAGAAGAGATGCTAATCCAGAACTCCAATGTTTCTCCCCCTCCCCGAGACGTGGCGAACCGGAGAGTGATCCGATAGCGGATTTGAATGTGAGGAGTCGCATCCTTGCTCCTTGGGGGAAAAACAAAACAAAACACCACCCTTTTGCTTTTCGGTGCGAAGCGAGGCGTAGAGACTGCCTGGAGTTAAAATGCCAGCTAAAGGCAAATACTTTTTTAATGAAAGCGAAGGTTGCAAGTTGTCAGATCCCTTATATGAGAAGTATCTTTATGCAAGTCAACAACACCCACTGCTCTTCTTCCTGCTCTTCATTGTGGTCGCCTATTGCTCAACACTTATCGTAGTGCTCGTCTCTTACGATGTGAGTATGATGTGCTGAGGTTCTTAGTTTTTCTATTCTGAACAAAACCGGACTCTCTAATTTCAGATGTAGGAACCCGTTATATTAATGCAAATTCATCCATCATTTTGCAATCCATTGTGCTTTGCATTTTCCCAAACAGCTTCCTAACCAGCAAGTTAGGGAAAAGTTGGTTTTTAAAAGATACAAAATCTGCTGGAGAGAATTTGAAGAAACGTGTAATATTATGGGGAATACTGCAAGTAAAGAATATTGCGTTTAGAGAAATATAAACCCCTTTTAGCCCAAGAGCTTTAAAGAACTCTCTCTCTCAAGTTCAGAGAATGTTTTAGAAGCTTTCTCCTACAATTCCTACCTGTACGTATTTGCAGCAGCTTATATTTCTAGAGAAATCAAAATGAATCTAGAATCTGTTAAATCTGATAAATGTTTCTCGGGTGCTATGTAACTTAAAGGAATCCTAGAACTTTAATTTTAAATGTAATAGGAATGTCAGATTATGCTTCCAGCAGGCGTGTAGATCTAACGTGATTATTTCTGAAATTCTACAGTTATGTTGACACGGTTGTTGAGGTTGAATGCAGTTGTTTTAATGCATAAATATTTAGACTTATAAGAGCAAACTATTAAAAGTTTCTAGCCCAGCCAGATATCAGAAGGAAGAACTAAATGTGAAAAGACTTTCTGATTAACGCTTTCTGTGAAAACAACCGTTTGCCTGAAATGGAGTAGGGTACCATGCTTTAGTAAGAGGTTGGACTAGAAGACCTCCAAGATCCCTTCCAACTCTGTTATTCTGGTTACATGTATTTCTCTACTCTGTCTCTAAAAGTCAAAGACCGCAGATAAGGGATGCGTCTGGTTGACAATCCTGGAGATGAGAGACTACAAACTATTTTCCTTTTCAAGAATATTTTTTTGTAGATATTCACCAGATCCCCTGGGAATTGCTATTCCAGAATTCCTAAAAGCGAAATATTCTGATCTTTTCTGTATCTCCAATTGAAAGGATCTAAGAGGCGGCTTAGTGGCTAAGATGCTGAGCTTGTCGATCAAAAGATCAGCAGTTGGCAGTTTGAATCCTTAGTGGCGCATAACGGAGTGAGCTCCCCAGCTTCTGCCAACCTAGCAGTTTGAAAGCACGTAAAAAATGCAAGTAGAAAAATAGGAACCACATTTGGTGGGAAGGTAACAGCGTTCCGTGCGCCTTCGGTGTTTAATCATGCTGGCCACATGACCACGGAGACGTCTTCGGACAGCGCTGGCTCTTCGGCTTTGAAACAGAGATGAGCACCGTCCCCTACAGTCAGGAATGACTAGCACATATGTGCGAGGGGAAATTTTACCTTTAAGAGGTTGGATGGCAGATGATGGGAAAGACCTCCCTAAGGGATTTAGAGAAAAATTGCTGGTCTGAATAGTCCCATAAATCTGACCGGACTAAGCTAAGTTTCTTATCTGCCAAATCTCACCGGCTCCAGGTTGACTCAGCCTTCCATCCTTCCGAGGTGGGTAAAATGAGGACCCGAATTGTTGTTGGGGGCAATATGCTGACTCTCTGTAAACTGCTTAGAGAGGGCTGAAAGCCTTATGAAGCGGTATATAAGTCTAACTGCTATTGCTATTGCTATTAGGAACTGGCTTCTGAATTGGTGAATTAGTTAATTAAAATTATTAGTAATTTAAAATTACTATTACTTATTATTATTACTTAAATTACTTATTATTAGTAATTTAAAATTATTAAAACGTACAGACTGCAGCAAAATCGCATAGTGGCATTAAAGCAGGAACTTAGCACAAAACCTAAACCAAAACTAACTTTTGTTTTGCTTACAGAAAAACGCCGGCGAACACCTGGCCTTCATTGTCACTGTGAGCGTTGCTCTCATCATCTTCATCATCATGTATGTTTTAGTTTACGTCGAATATTACTTTTGGTGCCAGCTGAAGCTCTTTGCGGGCGTGATCTGGATCAGCTTGCTGGCCATTGGATATGTGTCCATTTTCGACAATTCGAAACCTGCTGGATGGGAACAGGTATTTCCGTCCCCTAATGATGATGTCATCCTTGCACCCGAAAGAGACTGCCTGTCCAGCCCCCTCCCCCCGAACCCACCTTGCGTGACCCTTTTTCAGTACATCCCGATAGCTTTATACCAGTATGCATCCAAACTAGACTGTGTTGTTTCTCTGTGTCGTATAATATATGTGGATATAGGCACAATTTTGTATTTATTGATTGATTCTGTCATGTTTATCTAGTGTACATTGGAGGTGGTGACCCTTTTGAGAGCTGTAGGCAATGAAATTTCATTTTAATGTATGCCGATCAGTGCACATTCAAAGTGACAATAAAGTTATATTCATTAAAGGTAGTTTAAGGACGCGGTGGCTCAGTGGCTAAGATGCTGAGCCTGTCGAGCAGAAAAGTCAGCAGTTTGGCGGTTCAAATCCCTAGTGCCGCGTAACGGAGTGAGCTCCCATTACTCGTCCCAGCTTCTGCCAATCTAGCAGTTCGAAAGCACGTAAAAATGCAAGTAGAAAAATAGGGACCACCTTTGGTGGGAAGGTAACAGCGTTCTGTGAGCCTTCGGCATTTAGTCATGCCGGCCACATGACCACGGAGACATCTTCAGACAGCGCTGGCTCTTCGGCTTTGAAACGGAGATGAGCACCACCACCCCTAGAGTCAGGAACGATTAACACATATGTGCAAGGGGAACCTTTACCTTATGTCAGGAGGCATCCAAGCATTTATATCAGGGCTGGCTGGGGAATTCTGGGAATTGAAGTCCACGGCTCTTAAAGTTGCCAAGGGTGGACGCCCCTGTAATTTATCTATTGAGACGCACAATCTTTTAACACATGGGCTCATGACCATGGAGATGTCTTCGGACAGCGCTGGCTCTTCGGCTTTGAAACAGAGATGAGCACCGCCCCCTAGAGCCGGAAACAACTCGGACACATGTGTGGGGGAACCATTAACTTTAAGCATGGGAATAATTTAGAGCTAGTTGCACCTTTCTAAGTGCCGATATCATGTACTCAATAAAGGATCTCTTGAACCTGAACTTTTCTGAGTTCATCAATCAGAATGATGACACTTTGTTTTTTCTTCCAGGTTCCATTTTTCCTGTTCATCATCTTCACCACATACACCATGTTGCCCTTGGCTATGAGAGACGCTGTCATAGTTAGCTCCTTTTCGGCCGTCTCTCATATTATCGTCCTCAGCGTTACAGCAGACTCACAGAATCAACACACCTTGCTCCTTCAGGTAAGGCACCTTGGGGAAACCAAGGCTCCTGACCCCACCAAGTGTCTCCTCAAACATTTGTGTGAGGATCCTCTGATCACCATTACCAGAACCCAGGTGATTTCCTGCCTGTTGGTGACCACAAAGCAGGGGTGAAATCGATTTACCGCCACTACCGGTTCACAAATGCTCGTTTCGCTTGAATGTGCCACCTCCGTGCATGCAAAGGACCTTGCGCGCATGCAAAGGACCTTCCGCGCATGCGCAGAGCGTCAAAAACAGGGCGTGATAACGTGGGTGGGCGGAGCATGCTACTGAGGACGCCTGCAACGTTAAATAGAAGAATGAGGGGGGAGGAATCTGCTCTGCCACGCGATTTAGATTAGCTAGAAAGCAGGAATGCCGACGATTCCAGCTAATATAAATCCCGCGTCACAGCTGATCATCGGAAATACCAGTTTGCCTGAACTGGTAGCATGTTTTACTACTGGTTCGGACGAACTGGTCCGAACCAGTAACATTTCACCTCTGCCACAAAGAAAGCAAAAGTGAAGCTATACCGTGTACGGGCTCTGGGAAGTCAGGGGGAGGGAAGGGAGGTGGGGTCTTAGGGGGAGGGGGGAAATATAGTACATGTTAGATTTTAAAATAACACGATTGCACTTGTATACTGTTGCTCTTTAACTCTAGTGTTA